TTCAATCAACAGCATTTAAAGTCAGCCATGTCTATCCATGAAAACATTTGTAAGTTTAGTTCCTCCAGTTTCGTGCTGTCCGGAAACCTCATGAAATTTTCTCTTCCAGTTCTCCGAATTTCGCAAATCTTGAGAAGAACTGCTCAATAGTTGACTCGATGTTTAAAAACAGCTTTTGAAGGCTTTGACAGTATGTTCTGTCATCTTTTGGGAGGTCTTTGATGTGCCTCTTGAGGTTTGGGAAATATCTAAATCTCTCACCATCCACATCCCTCTTAAAGACTTCCAGTTTCTTTTCAAAAGACTTTTTGTAACCAAACATAACATCAAGTGTCTTGCCAGTTCCTTGTAATTTAACATTTAAGTCATTCAAATGTTCACAAAAATTGTAAATGGAAGATTATAAGAGAGGGTTTCACGTGCCAGCAAAAGTTACTGGCATGCCATGTTTGGCACGAGTGCCAGGGTTTGCCCACCCCTGCCCTAGGTGTGCACACCCTCTTTCTTTCTTTCATCATGACTCACGGTGTGCACCCTGCCATTTGTGACACCGTCGAGTGTGCAGACACATGGCAGTAAGTGGCTTGTCCAGACCCCGTGGCACTTTGGTGGCGGGATGCCCCTCCTGAAGGGAGGACAGGGGGCACCTTTTGCTTCCGGAGGGAGGGGCTCGGTGGCATCCTGTGGCACAGGACTGTGGCACATGCCTCTGGAGAGTGGCCTGGAGTCTGCGTCTGGAGGCGCCACAAGGATACTAGCAGTTCGACTCCCTCGGCGCACTTTCCTCGATGCAGCCCTCTAGGGCCTCTCAGTGCCAAGTCAGCACTCAGAACCCCGGGGCAGCCCCCTGGGGCCTCTCAGTCCCAAGTCAGCGCTCAGAACCACAGGGCAGCCTCTGGTTAGAACAGCTCAGCAGCAACGTTTTCTTACCCAGTGTCCTGGCCAAGACGGGTGATCTCTCTGGACACCTGTCCCGTGCCGGTCCTCTCAGGTCCTACGATGATTGAGGCTGGAACCCATCAAGGTCCAGCTTCATGCAGGGGCCTCGGCTGGAATTCCCCATTCCCCACCGGCCCACACAGTTCTCTCCTGATGCACCTGGGCCTTCAAGTTCAAGGCCACATGCCCACAAGGGCAGCCCTCCCCCAGGTGTTTGCCGATTGCTTAACTTTGCCATTCCATCCTTTCTCCTCCTGAGTACTTCCTTTCTTTCTTGTGAGCTCAGCTGCTACTCGAATGAGCCTTGTGACACATTATCCAACATTTAGAGAGTGGTACTTGGAGGTTTTTTGGATTATCTGTGCAACTGTGTTGTAAGAAACGGAAGTCTCTTAACCACTTTATGTCATTTTTTTAGTTATGCCTTTTATAAACAGGGCTAATTGAAATTTAATCTCAGAGTTTCTGTATCTCAATAGTACATTTATTTTATTTTTTATTAATTTTTACAGAGAGGAAGGGAGAGGGATAGAGAGCTAGAAACATCGATGAGAGAGAAACATCAATCAGCTGCCTCCTGCACACACACACACACACACACACCCACACACACACACACACACACACACACACACACACACTCCCCACTGGGGATGAGCCTACAACCAAGGTACATGCCCTTGACCAGAATCAAACCTGGGACTCTTCAGTCCGCAGGCCGACGCTCTATCCACTGAGCCAGATCGGTCAGGGCTCAATAGTACATTTAATGCCATTCACAGTGTATAGTTATTGGCATGTCTTATAGATGTGGGCTTAACTTCTACCAATGTATTTTGTATTTTTTATTCACTATATGTTACTGCTGCTGCTTTTTTCTTTTCTTATTTTCCTGCATTCTATTGAATTGAATTTTCTCCCTTTATTCCTATTGACTTAAAAGCTATCAAATATATTTTTGATCTTTAAGTGATTACCTTAACATTTAAAACCACATATTGTAATTAATTTTTTAAAGTTTAGAATTCATTTTATCTACCCCCCCTCCACTGTGTAGTGCAAACAAGCCCTGTAATGCTATAACTTACCGCTGAACAACCTCTGCATTCTCCATGTGATTATTGCTTATTTCTGCCAATTCTCCATACTTATTTTAAGTTCACACTTTCTTAGATTTACTGACACGTTTTCTGATTTCTTAAAAAATTGCCTAGGCATTGCACTCTTCATTTCTGGGATCATGTTCCTTTTTGCTGAAGCTTCTTCCTTAGTAGTTCTTCATTTTTATTGAATTTATTGGGGTGACTTTGATTAATAAAATTATATAGGTTTCAGGTGCATGATTCTATAAGACATCATCTGTAGATTGAGGAGTGTATTCACCACCCGAAGTCAAGTCTCCTTCCATCACCTTCTGCCCCCTTTACCCTCTTCTGCCTTGGTGGTTCTTTCCATGGAAGCCTGTGGGGAGTAAACTCGAGCCTTTCATCTCTGTAAAGATTTATATTTTGGTCTTACTCTTGAATTAATTACTAAGCTGGCTACAGAATTAAAACAGAATAGTAATTTACCCCCTGAGCATCTGGAAAACATTAGACTGAGAAATATTAACCATTATTTTTGGCATGTTTTATTTTCCCCAACTTTATGAAGGTACACGTGACAGTTAGTGGGAAGGAATATTTTGTTACACAGCATCACTGACCTGTCACCATCCCAGATGAAGCTGGGATCCAGAGTGTGATGCATTCAAGGATAGAGAGGCTGAAGCTGTCCCAGAGCAACGGAATTTTCCCCAAGATGTGAACTATGCCTTTCCACACAGTGGAGCCCCCGAGAAGTCACAACATGTGGCTCATATCTGGTATAGATTTTTGGATTGAATTCTGGCGAGAACATCATTGTATTATATGGACACTTAGTAATAAATACAAAAGAGCACGTGAGCTTCTAGGTCATGCATTGTTAACTTGCACGTCTCTAGAAATCAGAAATGGGCTTTTGAAGAAGGTCCCTGTGTCTTCTACAAAACTGCACTGAAAGTATTTTCCATCCTTGTTCTTTTAAGGTCAAATGTTATAAAGAAACACATATAATTCAGGAATCATGCGAGCATAGTCCTACAACATTTCAGAAGAGAGAGAGCTTAACTTTTGAGTCATGATGAAGAATGAGAAAGCCCACGAAGCTGCATCTGGCCTCCGAATCAGGCCTTACAAGCCCCGTCCAGGGTAACTGTCTCTCTCTGGATGAGGAGAACGTATCCTGGGAGGAATATGGCACCAAACAAATATGTACACAATTTATAAAATGTTATAAACAATTCGTTTTTTCTTATAATTTAACAGAAGGCAGTCCTGATCTGTTTCTATCTATTGATATAAAAGTAACTGTTTTTGACGGACATGTTAGGAGTGTGTTTGTCCTTGTTTTAGGCAACAGGATGCCCTCTCAGACGTGCCTGCTCCCGAGGAAAGTGCGTTTCCCAAAATGACCACCTCCGCCATAGAAAAGGACATCTTGGTAATGGCTTCCTTTCATCCGTGTGACTAGAAGTAACGGAAGCACCCGCAGATGCGTTCAGATTTTTTTTTTAAATATTTTATTGATTTTTTACAGAGAGGAAGGGGGAGGGATAGAGAGTTAGAAACATCGATGAGAGAGAAACATCGACCAGCTGCCTCCTACACACTCCCTACTGGGGATGTGCACGCAACCAAGGGACATGCCCTTGACCGGAATCGACCCTGGGACCTTTCAGTCCACAGGCCAACGCTCTATCCACTGAGCCACACCGGCCAGGGCCAGATTTTTGAGGTTGATCTGTGCTCCTCCCTGGGAAGCCCGGTGGGAGGAGGAGTGAATAGGAAGCTCCATACGCTTGCTCCATTGGGTTCATGGAGGAAATTATTCTGCCCGTGGTCCCCTGAGACAGCGGTCAAAGGGTCCCAAGTTACCTGCTCCCTTTGGTGAAAGATGGCCTCAGTCTTGTATAGCTTGGCATGTCTTTATTCTTCCATGAGGAATTACCTTAACTACATCATTTACATTTTACAAAAACTATGAACTTACTTTAGAAATGGTAACTCTTCGAGTATGTCAAATACAGAATTTTAAAGGATAGAAATATCAAAGACTTTAACATTGCAAATTTGAAAATATTTTCGTGACATACTTTAAAAGCTAATGAAAATATAATGAAGCTAAATGTCCATGATTAGAGAAATACTATCATGTCTCAAAATGAAGATTTTATGCACATATTTAATAGCAGCTGTAAAATTACAGTGTGGAGTATTAATCGGTCACCAGAAATTTCCTAACCCCTGTTGTATTACATTTCTGAGGTGAATGTTTGGGGATATCTATGCCACTTGCAACTTTTAAGATCTACTTCTGATCATAGATAATAAAAGAATGAACACACCAAATTTTCACCTATTTACAACACTGAACTCGACTTCTGCATGGTCTTTGTTCAGTATGTCATGTATTTAGTAATATCACTTGACGGTTTATAGTAGAATTCTGAGCTAAGATAAGAGCTTGAAAGTCCATGCAACATCATGTATATTTTTTTTAATTTAGGTAATCTCAAATCATGCCTACATGAGTTGTGCAAAATACTTTTTTATTACCTGTAAATAGTTTGTTTTCCTCAAACTTTAATTTTACTCAGTAGTTGTATGTCTGAAAACACACTTCTTTTATTATAGCACTAAATCCATCGCCATTTCTTCTGCTCCTTTATGTAGAGATATTACTATTATATTCACCATGGGATCGATACTGACCACATAGCCCCTATGGAAGATTCTTGGCTAGAGAACGTATTGAATCTGGTCCCCCAACATCTGAAAGTCCTCACCGACAGCATCCTCACGCTATCTGATGAAATGAGAGAAGATTATCTTCTTAGTGTAAAAAAGTCCATAGGTGAGCCAGTGTTCCCCTTTGCTTCCTAATTTGAATGTCTCAGTAAAGATATTTTTTAAAATTAAAAGTTAATACCTATACTTGTAACTGTTTCTTATATTTATTATGCTGTTTCTTACATTGCTTAAGATTGTAGGTAAGTTTTATTAATAAAGTAAGGCAAACATTTTTTTTAAATATATTTTATTGATTTTTTACAGAGAAGAAGGGAGAGAGATAGAGAGTTAGAAACATCGATGAGAGAGAAACATCCCACTGGGGATGTGCCCGCAACCCAGGTACATGCCCTTGACTGGAATCGAACCTGCCGACGCTCTATCCACTGAGCCAAACCGGTTTCAGCGAGGCAAACATTTTTTAAAAACATGATCTTTCTATCTGTGTGAATATATCCCCTCTACAAAGAACAGGACCGAAGAAGATTATAAAATGATAATTATTTAATTAACGTGAATATTACTGATATCTTAAAGTAGAATGTGATTAATTACAAAATTGTTGCTATGGACTAAGGATTGGCAATCTGCAGCTCACAGGCTCAGTCTAGACCACTGTCTGTTTTTGTAAATAAAGTTTTATTGGAACACAGCTGCATACCATCATTTGCATATTTCCTATGATTTTTCTGACCTATAAGAACAGAGTTGAGTTGTTGTGATAGAGACCTTATGGCTTACAAAGTTGAAAATACTTATAATCTGGCCCTTCACATAAAAAGTTTGTTGACTTGCAGTACGAACCAATATATTCTAAGACCGACTAATCATCAGAGTCATTTAAAAATGCTGACTATTGAACCCATCTGAATTACAATGTCTGGAAACTAGGCCTTCCAACCTATACTTTTTGAAAAGGCTCCCAGCTGGCTGTGGTACAATTGTGTATAACTGATGCTGTGCTCAAAGTTGGAGAAAGCGTAATGCTTTGGAGTGGTCTGGGGACCCTTCAGGGAGGGCAGCATTCCTGTCTGTAAGACTTCTATTGGGTGTCCTGGTGACATAAACATAAAGAGCCAGATTCTTGCCCCCCAAATGTTCATAGTGTAATAAGGGAGATGCACAAATCTCTAAATTGCAGAGCAGAGTAGTAAGTGTGATAAGGAGGGGAGCAGAGGACACGCTGGAAGGGAGAAGGGGCGGTGCCTGCCTGTTAGGAAGGACTCTGGGGGCACCTGGATCGAGCCGTGGAGAGTGAGGAAGAGGCACCAGGGAGCATGCTGGGCCCAGGAAAGGCTCTCCCTGGCTGGGGAGCATTTCTGGTGGCCAAAGCCAAGCGGGCATTGTGGGAAGACGGTAGAATCTGATGGGCTCTATGTGCCTTTTTAAAGCGCTGGGAGGTATGGGCGAGTCACTGAAGGGTTGTCAGCAGAGGGGTAATGACATGCTTGCATTTTAGAAAGAGCATCCTGAAACACCGGCTGGAACATTAGAGTTAACATTAAAGACCACAGAAGACAGAAGCAGAAGTAGCTCACTTTACGGATTTATAACAAGATTGTTCTATGCTCTTAAGCAATAAAAGGGAACAGCAGCCAATATGTGTATTTTTTTCTGTGAAGGGAAACTACTGCTACTATTCTGTGTTGTTGTTCAATTCAACAAGAACTGCCTTTTGTGGAACAGCTATAAAGGAAAATGTCATATAAAAGTTATTATAATTTGCAAATGAAAGAACAGGGACATTGTTAAGAACCATTCTCAAAGACAAAGACATCATAGATTTTTCTCATGATGTTTATTTTCTTGTCATTATAAATGCACAAATCACTTATTTTTAAAAAATGAATATAATTTAAACAGTTTTAATTAAATTAATTTTGCAATTGCTTGTAAACATACTGTAATTATTATAAGGTTATTGATCAGAACTTTTCTATTTTCTTCCAGTTGATTTTGTTTTAAAAGATCCCAGAGAGAAAGATGATAAGAAGGCAGAAGAACTTCCACCCCATCGTGCTGAGTAAGCAATCAGGTTTATCTGCAGATATTGATTATGTGACCATTCATGTGTATGTGTAACTCTTTACACACCGGTATTATTTTCTCACAAATATGTTTATAATTGATGCATTTCATATATACAACTGGCCACTATTTTTGCTTACTTATGTATTGAAGCCGTAACATGTTACTTTACGAATTGATGGATACATGGTTAGACAAATAGACATATGGTCCGGTGGACGACTAGGTGGTTAAAACGTGAGTGTCTGGTGAAAGAACTTGAATCAAACCTTCATACGTACACAGCTCCCAGCACAGACTGCAGATATAATCCTATCTAATAATAGACAAACATGGTAATTAACCATACCTCCGCTATGCTTCCCATTGGCTAATCAGGGCGATATGCAAATTAACTGCCAACCAAGATGGCGGCCGGCAGCCAGGCAGCTGAAGTGAACATGAGGCTTGGTTGCTCCAGTGATGGAGGAAGCCAAGGTTCCATGCCTGCTGCAGCCCAGCTCGGAGGTGCACTCTAAGCAACAATGTTGCAATTATAGAAGCTAAACAAACCCCAGATACCTGCTTTCAGCCAGCAGAGGCCTCAGAGCTGGAGCTGAAACAGTGTTGCAATTATAGAAGCTAAACAAATCCCAGATCCCTGCTTTCAGCCAGCCGGCCTTGGAGCTGGAGTTGCAACAAAGTTTCAATTACAGAAGGTAAATAAATCCCAGAATAAAAATACAGAAAAAAAGTAGAGACTGGGAGCTTCAGTTGCAGGCT